TGCAGACCTTGTCCACAAAGCGGTTAATGAAGCGCACCACGTAGTTGGCCACGTCGGAGGTCTCGGCGTCCTCAAAGCCGCTCTCCGTGTCGTAGCTGTCGGCCACGCTCCCGGCGATGCTGGGCAAGGAGGGGGCCAAGAGCGTGAGGCCTCCGCCCACAGAGGGCAGCCCCCTCCCCACAGGAGGGCCCTTGGTGGTGGGCTCAGCCGGAGTGGGCACTGCCAGGGGGAGGGAGGGGGGAGGGGGAGGGAATGGCCGGGCGGGGGGGCGGGGGGCCCCTACCTGTTGGTGATGAAGCTGTTGCTGACGCTCTCGGCGTCCCCGAGGCCAGAGCTGCGCGGGAGGCGGTTCTTGCTGGTGTCCAGCGGGAGGAGCAGGTAGCTCATGCGGTTGGCGTAGTGGATGGCCTGGCTGAAGACCGTGCTCTCCTCCTTCTGGATCAGCTCCCGCTGCTTCTCGGGGCTCATGGTGGGCCACAGCCGGCACTGCAGCGCCGCGATCTCCAGGATGGACCCCTCCTGCTCTTGCGGTTCCCCCTCGCCCGCCTGGCCCAAGGAGAAAGGGGCCAGGGTAGCAACAGGGGTCGCCAGTAGGGCGGAGGGGGCGGGGCAGCTGCCGGCCTGACCACAACACTCCCGGGGAGAGCTAGCCCGGAGGAAGGATTCCGCGGAGGGATTCCCTTCCCACATCCCTGTGCACGTCTTCCCAAAAGGGCGCTGTCCTTCCTCCTCCCTCTCCTCCTCGTTGCCCCTGCCCCCCCCCTCTGAAGAGGCAGCAACGGAGTCTCTGTGAGAAGTTCCTCTCTGAAGGTACTCTCCTTGCCCTGGGCTTGGCCACCTGGCCACCGCCCCCACTGTCTCTTCTGCCCTTCCTTCCTTCCTTCCTTCCTTCCTTCCTTCCTTCCTTCCTTCCTTCCAAGAGGATTCGCATTTGGCATCTCTCTCTAGGCAAAACGCAGCCTCAGGGATTTCTTGACCTTTTGCCCTTTTACCACCTCTTGAGAGGATGAGGCAGCGAGCCAGTGCGTGCCAACACCTTTTCTATCTAAACAGGGGTTCTCCACCTGTGGGCCCCTCCCCAGGTGTTTTGGCCCACAACTCCCAGAAATCCCAGCCAGTTTACCAGCTGTTAGGCCAAATCACCTGGGGAGGGGCCCACAGGCCAAGGACCACTGCTCTAGGATGAATTTCTTTGACTTCAACCAATATTTTTGAACCTAAGGTTCTGACTCTGCAATCCGGATCCTTCCTAAGAAATAGCAATGTAAGGTCAAGAAACAACTGGAAGGAATTAGGATGGCAGAAAGAGAAATCAACGAAGGAAATAATTCAGAGGGCCCCATGGGATGAGGTTGCAATTCTGAGATGCAATATGGATGATGAGGAGCATTCCATTGGCCGGGGGGCCCCCATAGAAACCATAATGGGGAGGGGGAGATGCGGGAAGGGGAGACCATCAATTCGGCCATCAATTCGGCTCCAAAGAAATAAAAAATCATCAACTCAAATTCGGCTTAAAAAAGAAAAAAGAAACCAGAAAAATTTAATAATGTGTAATTGGTCTCCTGACAGGTTAAGTGGGTGTACCCAGGCTGGCGGTCCCTCCGGGTTGAAGATGGTGCTGTTGAACGCCAGATCTGTTAACGGCAAAACATCTTTTATCCAGGATTTAATCCTGGAAGAACGGGCAGATCTGGCGTGCATTACGGAGACCTGGCTGGACGAAGCTGGAGGAGTTAATTTAACCCAGCTTTGTCCACCAGGCTTCTCCGTACAGCACCAATCGAGACCTGGAGGGCGGGGAGGCGGAGTTGCGGTAGTCTATAAAAATTCTATCTCGCTGACCAGAAGCCCCATCCCACAGTCAACTAATTTTGAATGTGTCTACCTGAGGGTGGGTGACCGGGACAGAATAGGGATTCTGCTAGTGTACCGCCCACCTCGCTGCACTACAGTCTCCCTACCTGAGCTAGCAGGGGTAGTCTCGGGCCTGTCACTGGAGTCCCAACGGCTTCTTGTGCTGGGGGACTTCAATGTACACGCCGAGACTGCCCTAGTGGGAGCGGCTCAGGACTTCATGTCTTCCATGGCAACCATGGGGCTGTCCCAACGAGTAACTGGCCCCACCCACAGTGCTGGACACACATTAGATTTGGTTTTCTGTCAGGGATGGGAGCAAGATGGCGGGGTTGAGGAGTTATCCATCTCTCCGTTGCCATGGACCGACCATCATCTGATCAGCTTTAGACTTACTGCACCTCCAAACCTCTGCAGAGGTGGGGGACCCATTAAGATGGTCCGCCCCAGGAGGCTTATGGATCCGGATGGATTCCTGACGGCTCTTGGGGAGTTTCCCGCCGCCTCGGTTGGTGATCCTGTTGATGCCCTGGTGACTCTCTGGAATGGGGAGATGGCCAGGGCAATAGACACGATCGCTCCGGAACGTCCCCTCTCAAGTAGCCGAGCTAAACCAGCCCCTTGGTTCAACGAGGAGCTGGCAGCAATGAAGCGAAAAAAGAGGAGACTAGAGCGTGTGTGGCGTTCGGATCCGAGCGAGTCAAACCGAGCACGGTTTGTTGCCCTATTAAGGGCATATGCCGTGGCAATAAAGGCGGCAAAGAAATCCTTCTTTGCGGCCAATATTGCGTCCGCAAAGAACCGTCCGGCGGAGCTGTTTCGGGTTGTCAGAGGCCTATTAAAGCCCACCATTCCGGATGGGAGCCCTGACAACTCGACGGCCCGCTGTGAAGCATTTGCTCGGTTCTTTGCGGACAAAGTCGCTTTGATCCGTTCGGGCCTGGACGCCATGTTAACGGCGGTCTCTGAGGATGTGACGAGAACACCTGTCTGTCCGATTTTGTTGGATTCGTTTCAATTGGTGAAACCTGAGGATGTGGACAAGGTGCTTGGAGGGATGAGGGCAACCACATGCATCCTAGACCCCTGCCCATCCTGGCTTCTAAAGGAGGCCAGAGGGGGATTGGCCGAGTGGGTGAAGGTGGTGGTTAATGCCTCCCTTCGGGAAGGCAAAATTCCAGCCAGCTTAAAGCAAGCTGTGATAAAACCGCTGTTGAAGAAACCATCACTGGGCCCCACTCAATTCGTCAACTATCGGCCTGTTTCCAATCTCCCCTTTTGGGCAAAGTCATGGAACGTGTGGTGGCCTCACAACTCCAGGCATTCTTGGTAGACACTGATTATCTGGATCCGGCACAGTCTGGCTTTAGGCCGGGACATGGTACCGAGACAGCCTTGGTCGCCTTAGTGGATGATCTCCGGCGTGAACTTGACAGGGGGAGTGTGTCTCTGCTGGTTCTGCTGGATCTCTCAGCGGCCTTCGATACCGTCGACCACGGTATCCTTCTGGGGCGCCTCGTGGGAATGGGCCTGGGGGGCACTGTTCTACAGTGGCTCAGGTCCTTCCTAGAGGATCGTACCCAGAAGGTGTTGGGGGACACCTGCTCGTCCTCACAACCATTGACTTGTGGGGTCCCGCAGGGTTCCATCTTGTCCCCCATGTTGTTTAACATCTACATGAAGCCGTTGGGAGAGATCATCCGGAGTTTCGGGGTGCGGTGTTATCTGTACGCAGATGACGTCCAACTCTGTCACTCCTTTCCACCTACTACTAAGGAGGCTGTCCAGGTCCTGAACCGGTGCTTGGCCGCTGTGTCGGACTGGATGAGGGTGAACAAATTGAAACTCAATCCAGACAAGACAGAGGTACTCCTGGTCAGTCGAAGGCCGAACAGGGTATAGGGTTACAGCCTGTGCTGGACGGGGTCGCACTCCCCTTGAAGGCGCAGGTTCGCAGCTTGGGTGTGACCCTGGATTCATCGCTGAGCCTGGATCCCCAGGTTTCAGCGGTGACCAGGGGAGCATTTGCACAGCTCCGGCTCGTGCGCCAGCTGCGCCCGTATCTTGGGAAGTCTGACTTGGCCACGGTGGTACACGCTCTGTCACATCCCGCATAGATTACTGCAACGCGCTCTACGTGGGGTTGCCCTTGAAGACTGCCCGGAAGCTTCAGATGGTCCAGCGCTCGGCAGCCAGGTTGCTAACAGGAGCGGCACTCAGGGAGCACACCACTCCTCTGTTGAGCCAGCTCCACTGGCTGCCAATTTGCTACCGGGCACAATTCAAGGTGCTGGCTTTAGCCTATAAAGCCCTACACGGTTCCGGCCCCACTTACCTCTCCGAACGCATCTCCACCTATGAACCGGCTAGGACGTTAAGATCGTCCGGGGAGGCCCTGCTCTCGGTCCCGCCAGCATCACAAGCGCGGTTGGCGGGGACGAGAGACAGGGCCTTCTCGGTGGTGGCCCCTCGGCTATGGAATGCCCTACCAGCGGACATCAGGTAGGCCCCTTCGTTACTGGTGTTTCGGAGGAGGGTGAAGACATGGCTCTTTGAACAGGCGTTCAGTTAATCATGCAACTACAACTAACTCAGGAAGACGGTGTACTGAACAAGGAACGGAAAAACGACGGTGAGAACGGGATCTGATTTTATTTGAGGCGTTGATGACGATATGTGTGTTGTCTGTGAATGTCTGTTATATATTGTCTATGTGTTTTTAGTGTAAACCGCATTGAGTCGCCACAAGGCTGATAAATGCGGTATACAAAAGAAGTAAATAAATAATAAATAAATAAATAAATAAGGAATAGAAGCCTATCCCAGCTCAGCACACTTGACTCTCTGCAGGTTTTGAAGTGTCCTTTGGGCACTCCGCTGTATTTATGGTGGAATCCCCCCAATGGAGGGTTATTTGTGAGTCTGAACAGCTCAGATTCCCCAACACTTTGCCTACCTGCTGCTCCAGGTGGTTCTCCTCGGTGCCTTCCAGGTACAAGGCCCGGATGTGGTTCTGCACGTCGCCATAGAACATGGCCTCCCAGAACTGGAGGTTGGTCCACACCAGGTGCTCCTGCACACAGCTGTACGCAAACTGTGTGATCCCGGGGCTGAGTTTCTGAGGGCGAGAAGGGAGCGGGCACCCTGAGCGGAGCAGGCAACAGGCCCTCCCTCCTACCTGCCCGAGACCCCAGCTCTGGGCACAGAACAGCCCCCCTCCCTGCCCCCTTCATCGATCAGCAGGAGCCCCCACTGTCCCCCCTCCCTCTACTCACTCGGCAAAATGCTGTGACCAAGGGCAGAAGGGCGGCGGCCACTCCATGCTCGTCTGCGGTGCTGCAGTCCTGAGAAGGGAAGGGCAGGCGAGGGGAGAGGTCAGCGGCCAGGCTGGGGTGGGCGGGCGGCCCCTGGGTCGGGGCTGCTGGGAACTGCCCATCGGGAAACAACTAATGCCACCGCCCCCCTGCCCCCCCCCCCCGGGCAGCCACGCACCTGCAGGCAGCAGTTCATCATCCGAACCACAAAGTCAAACTGCAGGTGGTCCAGGACGGCCCGGTTCTGCTGGACGTGGAGGTTCAGCTCTTGTGTCAGGCACTGCCGGGCTGGCCGGCTCTTCATGGCCCGCAGCACCGCCGGAAGGAGCTGCAAGGCATTGGCACACCGCACTCACTGCGAGGGAGGGAGGGCAGCCCCCCAGGACCCCATGCAGCACAAAGAGGCACCCCTCCCCCCCAGGGACCCAGTGGGAGGGGCTCAGCGGGCAAACAAGGGGGGCCTCCCAGGACCGGCCAGAAGAGCCATGGATAGAGGCCGCAGCCAGAGCGGCCACAAGAGGGTCAAGGCAGCGCCTCTGGACGGCTTTCAGATTCAGCATTGGGTATGTCATGGCCACCAGGGCTGCTGGGGGCCTTTGCCTTCCTGGCCCTTCTTCCAGCCCCAGTCCTGGAGCAGAAGGGAAGGGGAAGGGAGGGGTGCGCGCTGTGGTCTGCCTCTGGAAGGCCGCGGGAGAGCCACTGGGGGCCGTGGCGCATCCTCCTCCTCCTCCTCCTCCAAGAGAAAGGCACCCTTGCAGAGTACGCTCCACCCGCAGAGGAGACCTCCCTCAGAAATGGGCCCCACCTGTCAGGATTTATTACGTATGTGTTTTAAATGTGCTTCTTTGTATTGCAAATATGGATGCCACTGAGAACGGAAAATGCTTTTGCTGAAATGTTTAGAGTTGAGGCTGTGATTATGTGAACTTGAGAACTTGGGATAAGCTCTGTTCTGATGAGAACTTCAAGGGAGCTGCCAGCTTGAAGCTTGAGAAACAACTGCAAGGAGTGTTTTGGCTTTCGGCTTTACTGTCCCTTTCTGTATGTCGCTCGCTGAAGATGGAGGTATTAGCTGTGTGCTTAGTAAACTGAACTTTCTTTTGTAACCTAAGCTTCCAGAGTCCTTGTTTTGCAAAGCAGTGTCTGTCAGATCCAGCATTCCTTCCGTCACGTTACGCCTAAGCTTGGCCCTACCCACCCTTTTGGCCTCCAGCATCTTGCTCTCAAAGACGTAGGAGATGCAGTTCCGGACCACCTCCAGGCGACGGGCGCTGTTGGCCAGGACCAGGCCGTTGCGCTCCATGAGCGTCCCTGGGGAGGGGAGGGGAGGGGAGGGGAGGGGGGCAGAGAGAGAGAGAGAGACATGCCAGCCCCATTCAACGCTGAGCTACTCCATGCCACCCCTCCCTCTTTGGCACAGAGACTGGGGAAGGAGCAAGATCGGCCCCTGCTCTTGACCAGGCTGGCCCATCCATGGAGAGGGGCTGCAATGCCCAGAGACCAAATGGACTGCCCCACGGAGAAGAAAGAGAAGGGGCGGGAAGGGGAGGGGAGGGATCTGTCTTTGGGTGTTTGCTACCTCCCCGTCTGCCTCAGAAAAGCGGCAATGGGGCAACAGAGGGAGGGAAGGGGCTGAGGATGGGCGCCTGGGGATGGACTAAGCCCCCTCCCCGGTCATTCATTTCCTCTTCCCCTCCCCCTCCCTCTCTCTCTCTAGGCTGGTGGGCCCATTCAGGCACGATGCACCCCAAGGGCTTGCAGGGCAGGCACTGGGAAGAGCCCCATCCTGACTGGAGAGGGCCTGGAAATACCACGGAAAGGGCTGCCTGACCCCAACCCGCACCCGGCAGCGGTGGCAAAGCACGGAGTGCACGCAGCACCTACCGAGGGGGGGCCCAGATGGCACCAGGCACTTCCTCTCTGCCCGGACCACAGGGGGGGCCGTCTGCAGCTTGGCCGTGGCCTGGTCCACGATCCACTGGATGGTGCCCTCGTCCAGGCGCGGGAAAGGCCTCTGGTGGAGCCGCAGGTGGGAGCCCTCCGTGGGCCTTTGCACCTTGTGCATTGTCACGGCTGGGTAGGGGTTCTCCTGGGGGGGGGGAGCAAGGAAGAGGCCTGGAGGGGGCGCTGGGAGGGAACCGGGGCGGCAATCGCAGGCGGGAGGGGCCCGCTGACCCCACGGAGGCTCCTTCAGGCGGAAGAGAGCGCCGCCTTCGCAGCTCTCTCCCCAGGGAGCCCCAGGGGTCACCCAGTCCAACTCCTTCTGCCATAAACAAGGGCACAATGCAAGCCCTCCCAAGCCACCTCCATCCAGCCTGCTTGAAAACCTCCGGAAAGGGACTTGCTCAGGACGCCTCCCAGGCTGCCTCTGCTGCTGCCGCCACCATAGTCCTCATTGCTGTATTTACCCTTTGCCTTTCGCCAAGGCATGACAAGGCCTCTGGCTAAACGCTCCTGACTCTTTCACTCGCTGTGGGGCCTGGTTTTGCTCCCGCTGACCATTCTAGTTGCCCTCCAAAGGGCAGCCTGCCTTCCTTCCTTCCTTGCAAGGGGCTCCCAACCACCCTGCCTTCCACCCTTGACTTCTGGGGCAGACCCCACCCCACTCCCTCAGCTCCCCTTCTCCCTTTTCTCCTTCTCCACAACCACTTCAGCCCAGGACCTCAGCTGCAGCCTGCATTCCATGTTTCTCCTGGGACAGCTGACCCCCCCCCCCCGACCCCAACCTTCTGCTTCTCTCCTCGGGTGTCTTGTGCCAAGACATAGCTACAGCCATGCGGGGAATCCACTGCCCTAAACCTGCCCTCCTGGCAACGTTTTCTTCAGCAAATGTGGCCGGCAAGGCCTGGCTTCCTCAGGCGGCAGAGCTGGAGGCCGGGCACGCTGAAGGGAAAGGGCCGAGGAGGGGGCTGGGGGGAGCCGGGTGCTTGTGTGCACTCACGTTCTTATACAGTTGCTCCGCCAACTCCTTGATGTGCTGCAGGACGCGGACCTTGCTGCCTTCGTCGGCCTGCATCCGCTGGGCTTCGTTGGCCACGAGCTGAGGTGGCAGAGAGGAGAGGTTGGCGGCGGTCAAGGGGCCAGCCAGCCTCTGTCCAAGCCGCAGAGTGCAACCACAGCGCCCCCGGCACCCCTCACCTCATCAAAGACGTCCACCTCCCGATACGGCGGACCCCGCTCTGTCACGAAGCCGGCGAACGCCATGCCTTCCAGCACTTTGGGAAGGAAGTCATCTTCCACCAGCCCACGCTGCCCCAGGAAGGCGGCCTGCAGCCAGGAGGAGGGGGAGGGGGAGGAAGGGGAGGGGGAGGAGACTCCCATCAGGACCCTGCAGCCCCCCTGCAGGGAGCAGGCCAGGAATGGGCTCCTCAAGAGGCAGCCAGGTGACCAGGCACATGGGAGTGGTCAATGGCTGCCCAGGGCGAACAGAGGAGACCCTCCACTTTGCCCACTTTCAAGCACCACGTTGGACCAGTGTATTTTGTCAAGTGTATTTTGAAGGCCCTTCTACAGGTTCAGAGTCATTTCTCTGTTTCCCTCCACATCAGAACTGTTTGACTTCAGACAGAAAGGACCTTTTTGGGGCCCAGATCAGAGCAGAAGAACTGGGTTTGTGATACAGAAGAAGCACTGATTTGGGGGAACAAGAAGGAAGTGAACTGGGAATGGGATGGGGCAGGGGGCCGGGGGGGGGGGGGGTAGTGGCTGACTTAGGAGCCCCCCGTAACATCCAGAGCCCCCCCCCCCCATAGCATCTTTGATCATCTGGAGAGGCCCTGCTCACGCTCCAACCACCATCACAAGCGCAACTGGTGGGGACAAGGGAGAGAGCCTTCTTGGTGGTGGCCCCTCGACTCTGGAACTCACGCCCCAGGGACATTAGGCAAGCCCCAACTCTGGCAGTCTTTAGGAGGAGCCTGAAAATGTGGTTGTTCCAGTGTGCCTTCCCAGAATAAGGAAACTCTCAGCAATAGGTCCCTACGTGCACTTTAATAATGATTTAAGATTGTCTGCACATTTCTTTCCCCTCCAAAACCTCTATCCCAATTACATGTCACCTGTTCATGCCCAGGATTATTTTAACATTTTAATTATTACATTTGGCCCAGCCATAGGTTTTTAAATGTGTTGTGTTATTGTTAATGTTTTCTGCTTATTTTGCTTATGAGTTTATGTACTGTTTTTGTATTGTTGCTGTTATTGTTTATTGTTGTGTTGTGGGCTCGGCCTCATGCAAGCCTCACTGAGTCCCTTGGGAGATGATAGGGGGTACAAATGAAGTTTTATTATTATTATTATTATTATTATTATTTAGTCCTCCAGGGATGAAACTAGCGCTTGACCCTTTGCACTGCATTTGTGCCTCGTGCAAAGGCCTGTGAGGGAATTTCAATCCCTGTGGCTGTCAGTTAATTGGGAGGGGGACACGTCTGCACCAATTTTTTTGAGGAACAAAGGCTGACCGGTTCCTAAAGCGCAAGACGCCCTCCTTCCTCCGCCCAGCTGCCCAACCCAGGGAAGAGGGCCTGGGGGTCCCCTCGCTCCTCCCGCTGCCTCCGCTCTCACCTTATGGAAGCGGATGACAGGCTCGGGGTGGATGCGGATGATGTGGAGGCACCAGCGGTAGCCCTGGAGCAAGTGAGCAAACAGCCGGAGGAAGACGGCCCGGATCTCCTTGTCCTGCAGATGGGAAACGAGGGGCAAGCTTGTCAGGTCTTGAGAGCAGCCGGGGCCCAGAGGCTGTGGCCCTTGGCCCCAGAGGGACGGGAGGAGGCGCTCCCCGGGCCCCCCACCCAAGGAGGACTCTGCCTTTCCTTGCAAGGGCTTCTCAGGCCCACCGTCTCCATGGCACTGGCACAAGACCCGTGCAAATATGCCTGTGGGCTATATGCAGCATGCCAAAATCTACACCTGCACCCTCTTGCGTCAGGAAGGAGGTTTGCAGCCCCCCTTCCTTCTGTCAGGCTCCGTCCATCCGCTGCCAGGCGCTGCTGCCTCTCGTCTGCCACCCACAAAGGCTCCCCTTAGCGGCTGGGGGCCCCTGCCCCTTCCCCTCTCATCCTGTCCTCACTTGCAGAGCCTTCGTGGCCCCTGAAAGGAAGGGGCTGGCCAGCACGGACCCCCACCCTCGCTGCTTGCCCAGCCTACCTGCATCTTGAGGGAGGAGGCAGAGATGGTGGACGGCGGGAAGGCCAGGTCTGCAATTTCCAGCCCGGGGTCCAGGACCTGCACAAGAGGGAAGAGGCCTTGGCGGAACGGCGGTGTCCATCTGGGCAAGAGTGGCCCTTTGTTGGCTGCTCGGCAAACAGCCAATGAGAGGCCGTCCTGTAGCCTGACAGCAGCTCCCATCCTGGTTCACTGCCCCCTCCCCCTCTGCCAGCACCTCTCCCCCCTCCAAAAAAAAAAGATATTGTTGAGAAGGAGCGAGTGGAGCCGGGCGGATGTCTCACGTGTCATGCGCTTGGGTCTGAGTTCAAAAGGGATTCTATCACATTTCTCCATCAAGATCCACTGGTGTCGGGGCTTGATACTACAAGCGCTGAGGCCATAAGAGTCGCACCAGGGAGGGTGGAAGGAACTGCAGGGCGGAGGCCTGCCTGCTGGAGGGGGCGGGGGGGGGGGGGCTGCTGCAGAGCCCCTTGGACGATTGACCTGCTTAATGCCCCCCCCCCCAGCAAGTTTCAAAACCATTTCATCCCGCTGGCCTCTGGCCTGTTTCCAAGGGTGTGCGCTGAGGGGCCATGACCCTTCCTGAGAGATCCTCAGGTGCGACAGCAGAGGAGGAGGAGGAGGAATGGGTCTTGCCCGGGAGCCCCCTCCCAATCAGGGCGGCCCACCTGCCCCTCTCCTGAAGGAACAGCCAGCGTTCACTCGCCCGCCAAGAGGCGTTCCCTGACAGGAGGCGCGTTGAGGCAGCAAAGGGAGGCTCACCATGGAGAGAGCTTCGCGCGTACGATGCAGAAGCGGCTCAGGCAACAAAGAGATGTGGATGCACTCGGGCACCGTGACCGTCCCTCCATCCAGGTCGGCTATGATAACGTCCAGCTAGAAAGACCAATGATTACTCTCCTCCTCCTCCTCCTCATTTACACCCCACTTTTCTCCCAACAACAGGACTCAAGGGCTGTTCAACAGTGGAACTCTCTGCCTTGGGGTGTGGTGGAGGCCCCTTCTTTGGGGGCTTTTAAACAAAGGCTGGGTGGCCATCTATCGGGGGGGCTTTGGCTGTGCTCTCCCTGCCTGGCAGAAGGGGCTTGGGCTGGGTGGCCTTGGAGGGGTCTCTTCCCCCCCCCCTCCCGGGATGCCACGACCCAAGTGGCCCCTCCAGCGCCCTCCCCAGTCTCGGCCTGTCCTTGGGGGCCTGGGAAGGAGAAGGCAGAGCGAGAGGGCTGAGCCAGGTCCGGGCCAAGAGGAATCCCACCTCTGCCAAGGGGGCCACTTCCACTGGTAATTTCTCTCCTACTTTTCTAAGAGGCGAACGTGGCTCCGCACATGGAAGCCTTTCTTCGGAGGGGAAGGACTCCACCCCCTGCGCACTTCACTTGGCCCCTTGCGCAACCACAGGGTGCCTCTCCCCCCACCCAGAGGCTTAGTGCCGGGAAAGACACCCTTCCACTTTCCCCCCAAGTGCAGGGCAACCCATGCAGCCTCCTCGGGAGAAAGGGCAGCAAACGGTCGTCCGCATTTGTCCCTCGTCAAAGTCCGCCTCGTGGAGTGAGTGGGGGACACGGGCCTCTCCGCAAAGGGCAGGGCAGGAGGCCCCTCTTTCTTCGGCAGCCCCCCCTCGCAAGAACAGGTCCTCGCTCCAGGCCCGGAGGCCACCCCACCACCCCGCTTCCCTCGGGCCCCACACTCACCAGCTCCTGAGTCTCCGACTGGAAGTCAGAACTGACCCCGATGATGAAGGGGGTGGGCGTGCTGAGGACCTCCAGCAGCTGAGCCGGGAGGATGGGCACGTAGGTGAAGCTGCAACCCAGAAACCCGTCTCAGGAGGGGCCCTTGGGGAGGGGCCCTTCCTCAGCGCCAGGGAGGGGGGCGGGGTGGGGGAGGGGGAGTTGTAGGCCAAGACCCCTGGGGACCCACAGGTGGAGAACCACTGCTCTAGGGCGCCCCAGAAGCCACACTTTGCTGAAGTTTTCAATACTGTTGTGTTTTAATTTGTGTATATTTGAAATTCTGTGCTAACCCTTTTTTATGTTGAGCTGCTGAGTCCCCTTTGGGGAATTAAAGTGGAGTATACATATAATAATAATAATAATAACAGCAACAACTGCAACCCTTCTCACACAGCTTGGTTTGGCTTAAAGAAGGGAGGAAGGGAAGGGAAGGGAAGGGAAGGGAAGGAGGGAAGGGAAGGAGAAGGGAAGGAAAAGGGAAGGGAAGGGAAGGGAAGGGAAGGGAAGGGAAGGGAAGGGAAGGGAAGGGAAGGGGAAGGGAAGGAAGAAGAAATCTCATTTTCAGAGAAAAAGGAGGAGGGAGCCCTGGTCTGTTTGCAGGGGGGGGGGGCTGCAGACCACCTTTCTAACTCGTGTCAAGGCAGGGAGGCCATTGGCCTTACAGGCCGCAGGAAGGAATCTCCACTCACAGGCCCGGAGACACTGCAGAGGAGCTCCTGTTCCTGGACTCTATTGAGAAAGACTCAATCGAGGCCAGCAGGCGGCAAGCCGAGGGCCCGCCCCCCCCCCCCCCCCCCCCCCGCTCTTCCTCACCTGTACTTCAAGGGGAACATGAGGGCAAGGAGGGCCCGGCAGGCATCGGTCAGCCTCTGGTAGCTGCTGGACAGAAACAGGATCTTGTGCTCCGTGAGGGCCGCGCAGAAGAGGCACAGGACATTGGTGATTCCTGGAGAAAGGGAGTAGGCCAGCCACGTCATCCGCTCAGCTCAGGGCAGCCACCCTGCTCCAACCCAGGACGCCCTCCGCCCCACTGCTCTTGGGGGTCAGTACACCCCTTGGCCGCTGTGGCAGGCCCTCCCTCCCCCCCCCCCCCCCCCCCCCATCCTAGGCCAGGGGCTGCCCCAGAAGTTGCAGGCTTCCAGGGGGTTCTGGGGAAGGGGCAGAGCGATACAAGGCAAGGCAGGCTGCTGGCCCCACCGCCAGGGGCCTGACCCCGGTCTCACCAAGTTGTCGGAAGAGAAGGGCCACGCTGCAGTTGCTGATGGGAAGGGAGTCGTTGATGGGCGTCTGGATGACCTGCCTGTCGCCAGCCCCCAGGGAGATGGTCCTCTGCAAGAGAGAAGCCACAAGCCCCGCGGCCAGGGCTCAGCAAGGGAAGCCAGGCGGCCAGCCAGGCGGTCGTACTCCGGAGCTGCCTTCCAGGGACCCGGCCCTGCCCTGCCTCTCCTCAGGGGCTCGGGCACACCCCTCTCCCCTCCCCTCTGGCCGCACTGAGCAGAGGTGCCCTGCCTCTCCTGCCTGCTGCCTTCAAAGACTCTCTTGCCTGGTCAATGGAGCGCTTGCACAGGAGGAGGGGAGGGGGGAAGAGAGGCCCACGGACAGAAGGACAGACGGACAGAAGGACATACAGGCGCCCTAGTCTCTGGCTGGAGTGGAAGCAGCAAAGACCCTCCCTCCCTCACTCCCTGAGACAGGGGAGACCCCTCTGCCTGCCACCCCCACCTCTCTCCCTGCTTTCATAGGCTCACAGAGTCAGCAGAGGTCACCAAGTCCACCCGGTCCCCTTTCCTCTCTCTCACTGCTTCACTGACCACAAAGGACAGACACAGGCACACCGAGGGAACAGAGAGCTGCACACAGCCCGCCCTCCCTTGAGACTGCGGGACAGACAGACAGACAGACGGACGGACGGGAGCCTCTCTGGCCCCCCACAGCCCCCTCCGCCTCGCTGCCCCCCAGGAGAGAAAAGGTGTGCGTACCGCTCCTCCTTCGTCCTCCGTGTCAGGCTGAGATAGATAGAGACAGACAGAAACAGCACAGTCAATTAGAAACAGCGCAGGCGGCAGCGGGCCGGGCGAGAGGCAGAGGAGAGCGCAAGAGCAGGACGGCAAGCAACGGCATAAGGAAGGCAGCGAAGGCAGCGATGGCGGAGGGGAGGGAGGAGGAGAGGAGGGTGCCGGGCCTTGACACAGCACAAAAGGACACGCACCGGGGGAGGGGGGGGAGGGAGGCAGACCGGCAAGCGTTGGGCCGCCCACATGAGCCACAACGGTCCTTCCTGGCACACCTCCTGCCCGCCAGTATCTGCCTCCCGTTAGGCGTCCAAGCGTGCTCTCCCATGCACACGCAGGGCCAGGGGAGGAGTCGGGGGGGGGGGTCTTCTGGGTGGCTGAGGAGCGGGTGGGCAAGCAGGAATAGCCCTGCCACTGTCCAGCCGAGGAAGGTGAGGGTAAGGCCACACAAGAGCAGGCACACAACACAAACCGCCACCAGGAGCCCTTTGGCGGAGGCCTGTCTGGCTTCCAAAGCGGGCCCAGCGGCAGCTGCACAAAACCCTCAACCCAAGAGGAGGGGCTTGCTGCAGCCGGGGGGGAGTGGCTGGGCTGTCCTGAGAGACCGCGAGAGCGAGCAAGCCCCTCGCCAGACCCTCCCCCAGCCCCCCAGCCCAGATGGTCTGGAGGCGGCCCCCCAAAGCCCGGGCAACCGGTGGGAAGCAGGGGCACCATTGGACCCCTGGCCAGGCGCCCCATTCCTGGGTCACTGGAAGGAAGCAGGGCCTCACCTGGGAGCCCCCCGTGATGGGGATGGTGCAGGTCAGCAGGTTCCCGATGACAGTCTCCAAGGAGGTGCTCAGCCCATCCACGTAGATGGTGTAGACCAGGCCCAGGCAGTTCTGCGGGAGAGAGAGAGAGACACAGTCACCCCCAGCCCAGGCACCTCCGGGGATGGAGGGGCCAGTCCTGAGCCACTGCTGGGGGGGAGTGGGAGGGGCCCCGCCGAGCCCACTTGGCCTTGGGTAGAGAAGAGCCTCTTCCCCTCCAGCCAGGGCTCTGCATTCCCCGCCCCAAGAAGGGTTTTGCCTCTGGCAGGGATCAGCCTCCCTCACTGACACCCCCCCCCCCCCCCGCCTTTCCCAGGACACATGTTCATGCGACTCTTTCTGGGCCTTTCACAGCCTTCACTGTCCCACTCCTGAGTCCAGCCACAACAGCCCCCCCCCACCCCACCCCCAGCCCCCGGCAGCACCTACCCGGAAAACGTCTGCATGGTCCAGCCGGGAGACAAGCACCAAACTTTTGGGGGCAAAGAGCTGCGCCGGCTGGACTGGGGCGGCCACTTCCTCCTCTTCATCCTCCTCCTCCTCCTCCTCCTTCCGCAAACGACTCTGAAGCTGCCGGAGAAAAGGCTCCGCTGCCCCCTCAAGCGCCTCTGCCAGCTACGCTTCGGGGGCAAGGCCTCCCCACTGGAGACGCGGTGGAGTGCGGTTCCCTCAGGGAGCCTGCAGCCCCCCTTCCCTCCCATGGGGCACCCCCCCTTCCCGCCCCATCCCACTGTTACCTGGGACCTCTCAACGGCCTCCCAAAAAGTGAAGCAGGCACAGTAATGGCGCTCCGAATTGATGTCCGTCAGGACTGCGATGAAGAAGGTGGGGGGCTTCCTCTCACGGAAGAGCTGCCACCCGCTCGGCTGGCAGAACTGCAAGGGAGTCGGTTGGACTGGCATCAATCAATCAATCCGGGCAGGGGCTATCCCTCCACGTCCCTATGCCCTCTCCAAGGGAAGGGGAGGGGGAGGGAAGGGGGGACCCAGCCCACCCCCTTCACTCAAGGGAAGCACATGGCAGGCAGGCAGGCCTTCCCACTTTGCCGTCTTCCCAGGTGTCAGGAAAGGAAGGCCTCTCCCTCCCCTCCCACCCTCCATCCGAGCGCAGGGACAGAAGGGCCCCCTCCCAACCCACATCCTCCTCGGGCCTCTCTTCCTTTTCGCACAAGACGGCACTCAGGCTGCCTGCAGCCCTTTTGGGGATTTCAGGTGGGCGAGCTGTGCCATCACAGCCAAAATATTAGGAGAACCCACGCAGAAGTGAGTCAGGCCTGTCACACACAAGGCCCAAGCGAAAGACACGCAGAGAAGCACTCCCCCCTCGTGCGTGCAAGAGTGCCTGTATGCGCATTTGGGATGGGGGGGGGTGGGCTCCTCTGCTTAGGCCCCCCCAAGCCCTGGCCTCGCTCTGCACAGAGGCCCAAAGAGGAACTCCCCAACCCCCCCGACCCTGCTCTTTCCCACTGTTCCTGTTCCCAGAGCCCTGAGCCCCCCAGCTGTGTGCCCACCCAAAGGCCCCCCGTGCTCTCTGCCCCCCCCAGGCCAGCAGCCAGGCCACTCACCAGCTCAATGCCCTGTGGGAAAGGGTTGTCTTCCCAATCCTTCTCTGGAAAGCGCTGAAGTATCTGTCCCTGGCCATCGCCATTCCCTGCAGTCAAGGAGGAAAGCAATGTGTGTCGGACCGCTCCCTGCACCCTCTGCTGCCCCCCCATGGCTCCCCTTGGGGGGGGCGCTCAGCATTGGGGTCTAGCCCAGCGGGACCAGCAAGGGGAGGAGGGGACCCCCCCTTAAGGCTGTGGTGCTCTCTCAACCTGTGGGTCCCCAGGTGTTTTGGCCGGCAACTCCCAGAAATCCCACCCAGTATACTAAACGGCAGCAGCTTCTTGACAAAATGGGGTTGGACTGGATGGCCCACGGGGTCTCTTCCAACTCTAGGATTCTCTGTTAGGATTTCTGGGAGTGGAAGGCCAAAACATGCGGGGACCCACAGGCTGAGAACCATTGCCTCAAGGGCTCGCTAGCCCTTCTCCCCCTCCATGCAGGGGCCAGAGGAAGCCGGGGGGTTCTGGCTACTCAGTTACAGAGCGGGGCCTCGGCCCTGGACCCTGGCCCTGACCACACCCCACCTTCACTCATTGTGAACCGAGCGTGGGGTGCAACGCCTCCCCCTGCCCCGCTGTGTCTTGGCCCTTGGTGGGGAGTTTGAGCGCACAGGGAAAGCCACAGAGGGAATAAAAACAGGCTGTTCACAAGGCCAGATTTCTCCAGATAGGGTCAGTAGTGTTGCCACTTTGAAACGTTACTTCATCTGGTGTGCCAACTGATGAAACCAGCTCTCCCATATCAAGACATTTCCACCTGTCTCCTATGCAAAAAGGAACCTTTGTTAACCTGAAATAAGCCAATTTGTGTCTCTTTGTGAAGAGAAAAAGGGGGGTATAAATAAACATACTAACTACTACTGCTTCTTCTTATTATTATTATTGTTATTGTTGTTGTTATTATTATTATTATTATTATTATTATTATTATTATTATTATTATTATTACCATCCCTTTTGGATTTCCTGACGTGGCTCCTGGGAATCTGCCCTCTAATGCCAGAGCCGGGCTTTCTCTTCAGCATCCCTTCTGTTTCTACCTCACTTCACGGAGCCTTAAGCCAACCCGTCTTTGCCCCCGGGCCTTCCGCCCCGCTGCCCGTTGGTGGATCAGTCCCTGCAGAGGTCCGTGGCAGTGGTGGGCCCTTCCGGGGGTGGCCTGCAATTCCCAGCTGGCATCAGGGCGGCGGTTCAGGCGTCTCCCAATGAAGGGCAAGGCTCAGTGCCTGGGCCTCACCTGGCCACATGTCCACCTACGAGGACAGCAACACCAGCTGTATCTGCAGGCCCAGCAAAGGGCCTTTTGGCCTCCGCAGACCCCAAACAGAGAGAGAGAGAGAGAGAGAGTGGCCCACTGGGCTGGGAGAACTATTTTGGGCATCCAGCTGGCTCCCACCAGGACAGCTCTCCTCCCCAGAGAACCACAGCTCTATTTTGAGGCACAAACCAGCCATCGATGGTGCTATTTATGGTCCCTCCGGCCCACCATAGACACAGCTCCCCTGCTATTTGCCAAACTGCTGCTTGCTTGAGCTCCGTCCGGCCCCTCCCGGCCGGCCAACAGGGGGAAATCACAGCTGGTCAGTTCCAGCCGCCAGCCGCTGAGATTTGGCAGCAGAGGAGGTTGCAGGCCATCCCTTTATCCGGAACACGCAGGGCCTGTGAGTTACATATGTCGGGGCCAGCATCCGAGGGAGCACACGCGAGCACTGGGGGCGAGGGCACGAGGCAGCGGCCGGGGGAGGCAGGCGGCCACAAGGCCTCGGTCGGGGCCGTTGGGGGAGAGACAAAGGGAGGCCACGGGGACTGGGGGCAATGTTTACGTTAGGCGCCTTATGGAGGTGAGGGTTGCTTTGCAGCCTCAGCTGACCACGGCAGTTAGTAGAAAGACAATCCCTGAACCACTGACTACAGAATCCTAGAGTTGGAAAGGACCCCCAAGGGCTATCCAGCCCAACCCCCTTCATTCCGCCAAGCAGGAAGGCAACCAGCCAAGCCCTCCCGACAGATGGAAGGAGACTCCACCACAGTGTTGTTGATGGAAGAATGAATGAATGAATACATCAAAAGATTTGAAAGGAACCCCCCCCCCAGGCCATCCTGCCCGACCTCCTTCTTTCTGCCAAGCAGGAAGACACCCTCCAAGCCCTCCTGACAGATGGCCACCTAGATTCTGCTTGTAAAACTGCAGAGAAAGAAGGAGGGTCCCAGGCAGAAGCATATTCTGCTGACTGAAAGGAGCACATACACAGGCAAATCCACACACAGGGTTACATTGCACTTTCAGGAGGGACTTTATGATGCAATATGGAAATTGACTATAAATATTTCAAGAGCTGTCAGAGAGATTTCTGTTCCCCTTCATGAGAAACAACCAGTCTTGGCTTCACTGCAAAGTGTTCTTGAGGGGAATGGCCACGAAATGCCCCACGGTCCCCCCAGCTCCTTCTCCTCCTGGGGCTGCCACTGGCCAGAGGGGGGCACATGGGCCCCGACCCAAGGCAAGGGCCAGTGCAGCCCCCCTTGCCTCCCGGTGTATTGCTACAGCACAGAAGCAGGCGGGGAGAGGGGGGGGCAGCCCTGTCGCAGGGAAAGTGAAGAGAATAAAACAGAATAACTTATTGTAATTCTACCTTGTGCAACAAAAATAAAAGCCAGCCCTGGAGGCAACCTCCCTTCCATTTTGAGGACTCTGCTGCCTTTTTCAAACAGGAGGCCCCAGACACATGTAAACATATGCACACACGCAAGCAAGCCGAGTGCCCCTTCATGCTCCTTTGCCCTGTGGGAGGGGAGCCTGCAAACCCAGCAACGATGGACTGACCTGTCCCTTTCTCTTTCAAATCCAACCCCCCTTCCCTATGTGGGGCTGCCCAGACACAATGCACCCCACTTTGCCAGGCCTGCCATCATCACATCCCCACATATGCAAATGCACATCTGAGGAGGGTTCCAGCCTCTGCCCCCCCCCTCCCCAGGAGGAGCATCCCGTGTCAGCAGCAGCAGACAATGCCCGGCCTGTGTCCTGTCCATCCGTCCACATCCCCCCTCCCTCTCCCGGCCTGGCCACAGGGGCAGCGGACCTCCCGAAGGACAGGAGAACAAGGAGGGCACTGTGCCTAGGGCTGTGGAGGGCCAGGCTTGGCTGTGTGCAAAAGAGGGGCTGCCATCTTGCCTGGGTCTCCCGCTCAAGGCTCTATGGGTCAGCTCCTCTCCAGCAGCCCCTTCCATGCACCAAGGCTTATTATACAGCCATAGCCCCAATGCAACTTTTCTTTTTCCTTTCTTCTTTTTGAAAGCCAACACAGAGAACACACCAAGTGCAATGGTTATGTTTTTAGGGAAAACTCAGAAGTTGAGCATCAATAACAAAAAGGCCAGGCAGCCCAGTGCAGGAAGAATTGTGTGTATGTGAGAAGGCTCAAGCCTCAGGGGCGCTTTGATGGTGCTTTTCCAGCATGGCAGGGGGTTGGGCCAGATGGCCCATGTGGTCCTTCCAAGGCTATGATTCTATGAATAAGGCCTCCTGGGACCCCTGTCCCTTCAGCCTCCCGGCAACGAGCCACGGATAACGCGTCTCCTCCTCCGGCCAGGAAACATGCACCATAACATTTCACAACAGCCTCACTCACAATCAAAAACGACAACATTAACCTCAGCCCCAAAGGAAGCCGCAAGTGGATGCCATCAAAACAAATTGGTTACAAGAGATATCTAAAATCAAGAATACAATGAGATCCAACTCTTTTTTTACTGGGACTTGCAAACCATGACCTTCCAAGCCAGGACTTATATGATTACTACAGCAGGACTACTCTATACCCGGGGGGGGGGGGGGGGGGGGGGGGGGGGGGGGGGGGACGGGACGGGGGGACGGGGACAGGACTAAAAGACTTCCCCTAAAAGAAAAAACTGGATTACATTTTTTTTAGATAGAACTGGCAGAAAGGGGAGGCCTGCTCCCTGTGCCCCAGAGAGACAGACCAGGCCCCAGGGTGTGAAGTTACAGGACAGATCTCAACTGCCCACGAGAAGGGACCTCTTGACAGCCAGGGCTGCCTTGCCATGGGCCCACCTGCCTCAGGACGAGGGGTCTCCCCCTTCTCTGGCTGCTTCAGCAGGAAAGAAGCCGGGCAGCTCCCTGCTGTGGGGGTCCTGCGTGGAGCAGGATGGGGTGGGGCCCAATGGCCTCGAGGGAGCCCCTTCCAACTTCAAGTTGTTGACTGTAGCTTTAGGCTCCTCCTCACACAGCAAAGGACCGCTACCCGTCTTGGTTTGGGGCCATTTTGGGTGAGTCATTCCATAACCTTGAGTGTGGGAAGACAAGCAAGAGCAGATGTCCCCATTCTTCACCACAAGGGCTTGTGAAGAAAACCCAGGGCGGGTGCCTGAGTCAATCCGATACATCCTCAAGGAAGAATCACTGTAACAAAATCCCCCGTCTTCATTTGGCAGCTCGGGCCCACGGCTTCACCTGGGAATTGCAGCCTGGTCAACCGGGGGCAAGGAGCTTCCGCCGAAGACGGCATCGTCTCAGACCACGGCCAGGGAGCCTCTCTTCCTGCACCCACCAATGGCGGCCCTGGGAAGGTTCACTTGCTGGGTTCAAGCAGCCGGAGGAGAAACCAACAGCTGAGCAGGAGGAGGAGGCAGGCGGGGGGGGGGGGGGGGTCCACCAACAGAACCCGCACCTAGCACTGCAGTGAGGGCTAGAACTCAGGAGTGCGAGGCCCTTTCCCCAGAGCGGGGGGTCCTTGTAGTAAGGGGCTTTCAGCAGGACAGGGAAAGGGGAACAAGTGGCTCGGGGCAGCTCTCCCCCTTCTCTCGCCAGGATGACCGCAGCCCTGGGCGCAAGGCAGCTCTCCGTCCATCACGGCACTCACAGACCTCCCTTCCACACCAAAAAAGGAGGATGAGGATGCTCCTGGAAAACCAGAGGAGTGGCGCTTCTACACAGGTTGTAGCTCCACAGACAGGAGCTAACTTCAGCCCTCTCTCCAGGTGCTTTGGACTTCAGCTCCCACAATTCCTTACAGCCGGCAGGAGGGCCGAAGCTTGCCCATGCCTGTTGCACCCCCTGGCCTCCACCTGCATGGTTTGTTGCAATGAAAAAACTGTTTTTCAAAACCAGACGTGACCCCCAGAGTTGCTTCGTTGCTGAGGTTGTTTCCTGCCCTCTTTGGCTGCATGTCCAGCCCACGGAGAGCCCTGCGGGGAGGGCGCTGGCCTCCTGGCCTCCTGACATTGCTGCTTCCGGAGCCACACAGTGGCTGTTGCAGCCGGAGCACTCACTCCCCAAGGAGGAAAGCCCACCAAAGAGATGGCAATTTGCTTCAGCGTCAACACTCCCATTAAAACTGAACATATTGATAAGAACACTGCTCCTGCATACAAAAGAATGGAGCCAAAACATCCAGCCTTCCCAAAAGCAGCAGCTCTAGTGTGGCCACATTAACCGCACAAGCCAACGCGGCTGACCCAACAGGCCTGCCGTTCTCTGTTGCCAACAAGTGCTGCTTCTGGGCGGCTTTTGGGTCGGGGCCTGGCAGCACCTGGTCTTTGTGCAAACAGAAAACCCAGAAAGCTCATCACCATTCCGATAGATTGAAACATGAAACATCTTCAACCTGCAACCCTTCGGCTGTTTGGGCCCCCAACTCCCGGAAGCCCTAGCCAGGTTGTTCAATGGTTAGGAATTCTGGGAGTTGGAGGCCCAACCAGTTGGAGGGCCACGCTTTGAAGAAGTCTGAGCTACAACCTACAGAGTACGAGGGCCGTGGCTTGCCATTTCAATCCAATCCAATCCAATAAACCTTTACTGGAATATAAAACAAGACAGTATACAGTATAAATTACAGTAGGAAACTTCACATTTGTTGCAATTTACAGACTTCATTCAGGAATCTGGCCAAAGAAAGGTAATTGTTAAAATCCTGGCAGTTTAAAAGCATAATTACTTGGTCTGGGTCTGTATGGTTTTTCACAGAATCTATAACTTGTAGTAAGATCATCTGGGGAGGCCCTGCTCTCTGTCCCGCCTGCATCACAGATGCGCTTGGTGGGGACGAGAGACAGGGACTTCCCAGTGGTGGCCCCTCGGCTGTGGAACACCCTGCCTGCAAATATCAGATCGGCCCCCTCCCTGCTGGCGTTTCAGAGGAAAGTGAAGACCTGTCTGTTCGAAGAAGCATTTGATTAAACAGTGTAATTGAACATAGGAATACGGAATAATGGATGATGAGACTGGATTCTGATGTTACTGTTGAGGCGCTAATGATTGTTATATGGATGTTTAATGATTTATGTTACAATTGTTTTTAATTGCCCTATACTTGTCTCGTGTTGTTTTGTATTGATGTTGTTCACCGCTTTGAGTCGCCTGAGGGCTGAGAAAAGCGGTATAGAAATAAACAAACAAATAAATAAATAGTAGCAAGCTAGGGCCGTGGCCTGCAAGGAATGAGACTCCTTGGCATCATAAAGCTTTCTGGCCTCGCAAAGCCAAATTTTAATGGTTACAGAAACCGAAGGAGCCCGTTGTTTGCTCAGGAAACACATAGACTGACAAAGCGGGAGCTCGCTTTGGCCTCTCCATCCTCGGCGGGGAAGCCAGGGGGAGCAGCAAGAAGCGAGTGCCGCCACGGTGGGCCTGGGGGTCCCGCCTGCCAGGCTGGCTCCAGTGAAGGGGGCCGTGGCCTGTCCAATGCCCACCCCCAGCCAGGACCGTGGGAACAAGAGGGCCCTTCCGGAGAAGAACAACAACATCAAGAAGTGGGGCAGAGGCCCGGAACGGCGCTTGAGGCCTCTCCTCCTCCTCCTCCTCCCTCGCCTGGCCCCACAGCAGAGGAAGCCTCTCTCGTTCACTCACACGTACAGGCACACACAGCGCCCACCGCTTCTGCAATTGCTGCTTCTTGTGGTTCGTCTGCCGCTCCGCCCACTTCCCACCCGCTGGCTGGCCCTCCTCTCCTTCCTTCCTGCCTGCCTTCCCCGGCAAAACCTCAACCTGTCAGCAACCTGTCAGTTTGCCTTGCACTGGCATTTACTCGTCACAGGCCTACGCAAAGGAGCCCAGAGCGGTAGAACAGTCCCCAAGCCCCCCCCCCATCCCGGGGAAGCAGGCACAGTGATGGGGGGGGGGAGGGGAAGGGGCAAGGGCCCCAATCCCACCACTCTTCCCAGTCAGTTGGCCAGAAGGCCCACGGGAACCCAGTCAGAGACACCGGCTCCTGCCAGGCCAGCTTCCCCCATTTGCTGCTCAATGGCAAGACTGCATGTTTTCATCACAGTGACACGGCTGCCCCACACAAGGTACTCAAAGGCATCAGAAGCACGAGCATGGTGAAAACCAGGGCAAATCCCCCCAGGCCAACTCTGCGCATCCAGAGTCGGGAGCACTGCTGGGGGAGACGGGCTCCCAGGGGGGCCCCAAAGGGCGGTCCAGAGACAGGAAGAAGCCCTGCGGCTCCTCTGAAGGCCGGGCCCCGATCCCTGTCATGGTCCTCCCCCCCCCCCCCAATGACTCTGAGGAGAGCCGCACCACTGCCTTCTGCTTTGGGGAACCAGCAAGTGAGAGGCAGATCCCCCCACCCCCCGCCCTGTCTCTTTTTTCCCGCGCCTCTGTCACCCGTCCCAATGTGAAGTCTTGGCTCTGCCGCAGAGAGAGAGAGTGAGAGCGCAGCAGCCTATGAGTCAGGAAGCCCAAATGCCAGAGAAGCCACAGCAGATGCCGAGCAACACAGGGCCAGGAAGGACCGCAGGGGGAGGGGGTTGGGAGGAGAGGGAGATGGGGGGGGGCGGGGGAAAGGGTGGCCTTGAGCATGCTGGCTCCATTCTGGTCATCAGCCTCAGGGGCACAACCTGGGGATCACAACCAGATACAGTGAAGACACTTGCCCTTGCGCTGTGCTACTCTGCTGCTGAGTATGCATGCCCAGTGTGGAACACATCTCACCACGCTCAAACAGTGGATGTGGCTCTGAATGAGACATGCTGCATTATCACGGGGTGCCTGCGCCCTACACCACTGGAGAAATTACACTGCTTAGCCGGTATTGCACCACCTGACATCCGCTGGGAAGTGGCAGCCAATAGTGAAAGGACCAAGGCAGAGACATCCAGCTCATCCCCTGTATGGGTACCAGCCAGCACGTCAACGACTTAAATCAAGACATAGTTTTCTAAGATCTACAGAGACACTCGCTGGAACACCTCAGCAAGTGAGAGTCCAAAAGTGGCAGGCTCAAACCCAGAACCTCAACCAATGGCTGAGACCAGATGAGAGACTCCCCCCTGGCCACACAGAAGACTGGGCGACTTGGAAGGCTCTGAACAGACCGCGCTCTGGCACCACGAGATGCAGAGCCAACCTCAAGAAATGGGGCCACCAAGTGGAGTCCACGACATGCGACTGCGGAGAAGAGCCAACCACTGACCACTTGCTGCAATGCAACCTGATCCTGCCACATGATGCACCAGGGAGGACCTTCTTGCGGCAACACCAGAGGCGGCACTCCAAGGGGCCAGAGACTGGTCAAAGGACATTTAACGAACTACCAAACTCACACATTTTGTATTTTGTGTGTTTGCTTTGTTCTGTTAGAAATGTAATATAGTTTGACTGGTTGTCGTGACAGGACAAATCAATAGGGGCGACTCTGGCACCCGCCGTCCTAGGCTGGCCCCACACTGCCCTGCACCCCAGGATCGGGACCCAGACGACTGCCTGCCTTGAACTGGAGGAGAGGAGTCTGCACTTGCCATGGGGAGCTGCGGGAGATGGAGCCCGGCCACTGGGCTGAAGGGGGGTCCCCCGTGCTCTGGGGCAGGCCTGGGCCCCCCTCCCCCTTCGGAGTGTTTTGGAGTCCAGCCCCTGCCTGCCGGGTGCGAGGAACTGTGGGAGTTGTAGTCCAGAGGGCCCAGTCCTGCTCCCCCGCCGCCCGCCCAAGCCCACCCCTGGCTCGCTCACCGCGCTTCCCCGGGGAGAAGGCCACGACCACGAAGTAGTCTGCGAGGCGGGCCATGTCGGCGGCGGCGGCGGCGCTGCTGGCTGGAAGGAAGGAAGGAAGGGGATTCCTGGGCTCCTCTCTCTCTGCTTCCGGGGTGGCTGGCTGAGCTGAGCTGGGCTGGGCTGGGTGGGGGCGCCGCTCCGCCGCTGCCTCATGGCCGCCCCTCGGCCGCGCGCTCCTTCCCCGCCGATGCCTCTCGGCCGCGCAGCCCCTCGCCCGTCCCCACCGCCGCCGTCGCCGCCCTTGTCCTCCTCGTCCGGGCCGCCCCCTCACTCCACGGCAGCAGCACCAGCAGCAGCAGCAGCGCCGCCGCCATCTTGCCTGGGCGGCAGGACCCAGCCCGGCCTCTCGGGGCGCCACTGCGCAGGCGCGCCGCGGGGACAGCCAATGGGCGGCGGCTCCGGGCCCCAGCGCGCCCTCATTGGCCCGCCGCGCCTTCCCTTCCGGCCTGCAGGGCCCGCCCCGCGGAAGCAGGGCGGGGCCGGGTAGGGAGGAGGAGGAGGGGGCGGGGCCAGGGAGGGGGGCGGGGCCAGGGAGGGGGCAACCTGGGCGGAGCCTTCTGCTTAGTTCTTGTTTGTGGTTTCATGTTGCTTTCACTGTTTTTAATTTGCTGTAGGTTTTGCATTGTTATGTTGTGCGTTGAGGCCTTGGCCTTCGTCAGGAGATGGCTTCTGTTGTTCCTTCGTGTTCCGTCGCCTCCGACTCTTCTTCGTGACCTCCTGGGCCAGCCCACGCCAGAGCTCCCTGTCGGCCGGCACCACCCCCAGCGTCTCCTTCCAGGTCGGTCCAGTCCCTTCAAGGGTGCCCTCCATCCACGAGAATGGTTTTATAGGATGTCTTATATGATGTGCTATGTACTGGTGGTTTGATTGTTTGAACTGTGATCATTGCTAGTTTTAACCATGGTTTTGTATCTTATGTGTAATTTGTACAGGCATCGAATTGTGCCTTGCTTTTGTAAGCCGCCCTGAGTCCTCCTTCTTTCGGGGGTTGAGAAGGGCGGGGTAAAAGCACCCGAAATAAATGAACAAATAAAATCTTGCCCTTGGGCGGCCCCTCTTCCTTTTGCCTTCCACTTTCCCCAGCATCATTCCCTTCTCTAGGCTTGGCTGTCTCCTCATGATGTGGCATTCAAAGGACTTCCGCTTTCCCTCTACTCTCCTTCCCTCCATCAGGAGATGCTAGCGGGGTACAAATAAAGTTAACAATAATAATAATAATAATAATCTTGCCGCTGAGTTAGGGTTCCTAACACTGGCTCTCATGCCTATATAGAATAGTAATAATCTAGAGTTCCTGTCATACTGGCCCTCATGAATAATATACAGTCCCCAAAACTGGCTTTCATGCCTATATGCAATGTTAATATTATTAATAATACTGTCATGAAAACTTTTGAATATCTTTGAAGCACGGGTTCTTTTTACTGCAATTTTCAGTGTGGGAGGGTATATCCAAACTTACAGGACAACATTTTTACACAAAGAACAATATTAGGCATACATGTTGGCGCGTGTAAGAAATCAGTTAGTGTGTGTGTGTAAAATAAGATGCACAATTGGTTAGACTATGCATGGGGAGCTAGCTGAGCCTGGGACTTTTGGCTACAGTTACAGGTGCTTGCAGAGAGATTGAGAGAGAAGTTTGAAGTGTGTTCTTGCTTCATGAGCTGCTGGAGGAAGATTTTCTACATGGACAAAGAAACCATTTTAAATCTTTCTATGAGTTAATGCGACTGATCACATGATTGTACATATGTTGTTCTGAATTACAAAGTGTAAATTACTTCTTCTTTATTGATCATCTATGTGGCATATTTTCTTTCTCTGGCAAGACAGTGTGTGGACTGATCAAACGTGAACTCACATTGTTTACGCCACAAGACAGACATACAGATTCTATGTAACTACATTGGATTCACAACCTACAGTTACATTGGCTAACAAAACGGGTAGGGGGGTACACTTTTACTCAGCATTCACTCACATATAAACATTCGGTCGTCCTCATGCATACATCACCATTTCGCCATTCTTTCGCCATAAAGAACACCTGCTTTTAGACCGGACCCTGCTTTCCCTGCAGCCTGCCAACGCGCAGTTCCAAAACTTCCACAATGCCAAAAAAAGAACATGACTCTAAAACTGCAGTCTTTTCTCTTCCCTTGTGTACAGAATCCTCCTTTCCCCAGAGCAGGCCTGACACTCTCCAAAGGGACACCATCACTTTCCATAAAGCATGGCGGGTGAACAGCTTGCTGCCTGTCAAACTTTTTGACAAACTGTAATAAGGGGGTGCTTTGAATGCAATTTTCCTGCTTCTGGGCAGAATGGGGTTGGACTGGGTGGCCCAGGAGGTCTCTTCCAACTCAAGGATTCCAAGGTCCTTCACATAGCAACACTTTGCTGATGTTTTCCCAAAGTTGGAAATTACTGAGAGGTTGTTTGGCCAGCTTGAAACACCCTGGCTTCATCCCAGTTCCCTGGGATGCAGATGTGGACATAACAGGCTTTCCTTCTCAAGGAGCCTTGTTTGCTTCCTTCTTAACATTACACACATTTCCTTTACTTAAAAGAGCCAGTGTCTCTGATTAATGTAAACATGTTGCTTTCCCCAACAGTTCTTATCAATGTCAGCCATTTACTGTGGCAGGTCCACCATTTCAGTTCTCATTAGCATTGCACCTACCTCCAAAAACCTCCACATATTAACTGTCCAGTTCAGCACTTTTTAATATTTGTCCATTACATTTGGCCCGGCCTTTAGGTTTTAAATGCGTCATGGTGTCATTGTTTTTAGTGTTTTATTGTTTGCTTGATGTTTTATTATTTGCTTATGAGTTTTATTGTTGTATTTGTATGCTGTTGTTGTTGGTGGCCTTGGCCTTGTAAGCCGCATCGAGTCCTTTGGGAGATTTTGCGGGGGTATAAATAAAGATAATAATAATAATAATAATAATAATAATCACAGGGTTTTCTTACAAGCTTTGTTTTACTTCTAAGGTAATGTATTTTTATTTTATTTCGGAGCCAAAACTGTGCTTCGACATTCATCCCCTTCTGCCACCATCCAACCCGATGGTCTGTGTCCCTCTTAGCATGATACAGGGGTACACCCGGCCACTCCCTGCAGCTCAGGGCACCGCGAGGAAGACGGAGAGCGACGCCCGTGATGAGCTCCTGCTGTTGTGGTTGTCGTGGTACCGCCTGGAATGTGGCCTGCTCCGCAGGGGATCGAGGCGCCCCAGGAAACACATCACACAATCCAAACGGAAAACAAAAATACTACGATTTCAAGCACGATCAATGTCGGTGGGAATAAAGTAAAAAATTTTCGATTTTTCCATGGAAGACTTTCGGGGTGTTGGTGAGCGCGACAATATTAATATTTATCTTGCTTTATTCTATACCGCCTTTTTCTATAAGCCCTCAGGCGACAAAGCGGGGGAGCAACCCATACAAAACACATCCAAAACAAAGAACGCCAACAGTTAAAAAACCATTACGACATAAATCATTAACATCCGCTTATAACCAAGATTAGCGTCCTCAACAGACCATCGAAATCCCACACAGTCCATCTTCCCTTATCCGTATATCCAATATTTTACAAGTTACCCGCTCTTAATCAAAAGCTTGGTGTCTAACCCAACTTACATATCACAAATAAGTGTTCTTCACTTTCCTCCTGACGCCTATCCTTGATTGTGCACCGTATTTATTATGGCAGGAGGGCGTCCAATCCAGGCGCGACGGTGCCACCAGAGAAGCCCGCCCTTCCCACGGTATGTGTTTTGCACCTTAGCAGGGGGGACAGAAGCAGCAGGGCCTCCCCAGGCCGTAGTGCCCCCTGGTTCATAGGAGGAGAGCAGTCGTGATGAATAGGACGATGGTCGCTCAGAACCGTTATGTGTGTGTTAGCTGTCTGGTCGCAACATCCCTAAAGCGGACCCCTTAATCGAGTCCATGCTTGGGGACCGCCCCATCACCATTTTCTTTGTGTACTTCATAAAATGCGTTTGCTATTCTGACCGCTGCCCCATATGTCTCTGTATGGTCTCTTCATCACGGCCCACCTGGAGCCCCCCCCCCATACCCCCAAGGCTACGGGGGGGTTCTCGGGGGGGTGGGGGGCTGGTCATTGGTAGGTTATCCTGCGGGCCTCGCCCTGCAAGGTTCAAGAGCCTCGAACCCCACAACGGTGGAAAGGCACCCACAACGGTGGGAGCACAGCCTTCCGCCCACAAGACCCACCCCCCAGAGGAAGGGTTGGTGGCCACGCCCTTGCGTTTGGGACGTTGTCGTCCTGCTCCCGCGCGCCCTGGCTCTCCCCAAACCATGCTGGATCTGGACCAAAGTGGCACAGGATACTCACTACCGGGTAGTCACAATTACCGGCCCCTTCCGAAATTATTAGGACGCAGTCTGTGCTGTAACCCAAAGCTAGTAGCGACAGATAAACTTCAGAGTGTTCACCTTCAGAGTGTTCGATACATGGGGCGCCCGTGTTGGGGAGGACACGTTCAGAGTCCACGCGGAGCTCGTGTCATTCACAGCGGTGCAGCAACAGCGCAACACACAATGGCCATCGGAAGCAAAGCACCAGTCTGGGACATGTTCGGTTAGCGGTCCTAACCCTACCCGGACTACATCCCTGAACCTACACCCCACCAATATCCCAATCCGCAACACCCTATCCCTCATCCTAACTCCTAATACCAACCACCCATCCTATCCCTATCCCTAACACCCTAACCCTAACATTCAGTTGATCCCAAACCCCCAAACTCCAACCCTATCCTATCCCTTAACCCCTATCCCATCCCTAACCCTACCCTAACCTAACCCTTGAAATTCTCGCTGGACCGTAATTACTGACATGTTTTAGCAAATGTCATCACACAAAACGCCTTCTCTTTGCTTGATTCCGCCATTTTGAAAACAGCGACCCCTAGCGACGCCTAGCGGCATTAACGTACATGTGTGTTGCTCAAAAAAACCTTTGATAGTTTATCTGTCGCTACGTAGCTGT